TAGTGCTCTTCACAAGTGAGAAAAAAGATTTTTTGTCTGTTTTTTAAAATTTTTTTGTGGTTTTTTTTTTTTTTGTTGTTTGCTTTTTGTAGTAAAGAAGGGTTGTATTTAGAGGCCAGTAGCTAGAGATCCAACCAGTGGAGCTCATGAAGCACTACCTGGCCTTAAGGCCACCATCCGAGGGAGACTGGGAAAATTATTATTCACCCAGTCTCCGGAAATGTAATGTACCAGCAGGCAAAAAACAGTTCTTCATGTAGTACAAAAACCAACAAAACGAAATGAACCCAAAAAAAGGAGGAAAATAAAGGTAAAAATGAAACAAAAATAATTTCTTAAATTCTAGTGCCATAGCTTTTTTTGTTGTTTCTATTTTTGTTGTTCATAACAAAGAGAGAGAGAGAGATTCTACTTATCCGTCTGACACATGCATCCTCATGTGGTCGTTGAAATGCTCTATTTGGTCAAACTTAGCTGGACAGACAGAGCAGACGTACGTGGTCCCCTCCGTGCAGGCCACCACGCCGGCAGGGACAGCCCTCGTGCCGGTGCCGGTGGCTCCAGGCGTGCCGTTGGTGGCACTGTGCAGAGCCACATGCCTCTCCAGCAGGGTCTTGTGGGAGAACTTCTTCTTGCAGATGTAGCACTCGTAGGACTTCTCCCCGCGGTGGAGACGCATGTGCACATTAAGGGAGCTCTTCTGCGTGAAGCGCTTGTTGCAGATACTGCACTGGTAGGCCCTCACACCAGTGTGTGTCACCATGTGTTTGATTAGGTAATCCTTTAGAGAGAAGGAGCGCCAACAGATGCTGCATTGGTGTGGTTTCTCACCTGCCCATTACCAATGAGAGAGAGAGACAGAGACACAGAAACAGACAAAAAAAAGAATCATAAAATTAAACCAGGTCAGTAGAACTATTTGCAATAAACTAATGGTAAGTCTCATGGGGGTCTTTGGAGAGGTGTTCTGGCTAACAAAGAGTAAGTCTGTTAATTAGTGTGTTTTGACACACAACATTTTTTGCAACCAGAGGTCTCAAAACGCTTTAAAGAGGGGACTGTAGAAATTCCCTATCCACATATAGTAAAAAGGAGCTCAGATGATTCTTCAAGTTCACATAGTAGTTAGGCACTGACAAAGACAGGACTAGAGTTAAAAGGTCCTGGCATCTGCACCCAGTTTCAATGGCACAGCCTCTCCTGTCTGTGCTCCTGTTTTCCTCCTCATGCTCATTTCTAGACAGGAAGGTCTCGCCCATGCTACCTCACCTTTCAGTGCTTCCATTTCCTTACCAGCATGCAATAAAAACAGGGACAAATCAGTGATTACTAGACAGCTGACCTGGGCCAGACTCATTTCAGTCAAATTGCTTTCAATTTCTCAGGAGAGAAGAGACAGCGATTGCTGGAGGAATCCAACACCTTATAAAAGATTTACATTTGTTGCTCCTTTTCTGGTCAAATGTTATAGCTGAAGCATGTACAAGGAGTACTGGAAAAGGGAACCTCAGGACTCAGAATTGCCTAGGTCAGGCAGCACCATGCAAAGGGCATACAACTTCCAGTGTAAGACACAGGAAACTTGAATTATTTGACTGCCAGTTAAATCAAACACCTTATGAGGTAAACTAGAGAGATAAAACATGTATGTAACTTTCCACATTGCCATGTATTCCCAGGACTGTTGTAAAACTTATTAAGAAAACTCATACAATTGAACTCTGATTATGTTCAGACAAACCAGTGACTACAAGGATAAACTGGAAAAAATACTTAGCTGAGCACATATACTGTTTTTTTCAGACTACTCTTAAATCATCCTCATGCTCAGAGTTCTGAAAGATAAGGCATGGTCTCATGAATGTTTCATGGTATCAAACAACGTTTTCATGATATGCTGCTGCACTGGTAATGTAGCCAACAACCAACACCCTGAATGCCCCATCAAAATCTACTTTTTAATTTGCTTTCTGAATCATTTGCAGTATATTTCATGTGTGGAATTCATCATCCCCAAAGCTCTCAGGAATAGAGACGGTACTGTAGCTCTGTAAGAATCAAAATGATCCTCTGTTTCACTGATTGAGAAAATTATTTTCCTGTGGTTATTCTGCAATTTCCCCTCTTTTTTTTTTTTTTTTCCTCCGCAGACATCCTGCTTCCTTCTTTTTACAGTCTGTTTGGCACTGTTGTAAATCCTGAAGAGTCAATCTTCAGGGACCAAGACATGCCTGTGGTAAAATATAATTCACTCATTGTATAGTGAGATTACCATATGCTACTTATACTCAATTTTAAGAGGAGATAATTAAAATGGATTAGATGTGAAAGACCTACTTTTTTATCTCCCCAAGTCTGTTTCTATTTATTGCATGGTTTGCATGTATGACAGTGACATCCATGAATGAAATCCACTTGCTGCTCTTCCTTGCACTCATGATGAGCTTGTCCCTACTTGGTGAAAGACACATGCTCAAAACACTAAGTCCTTGCTTTCCTGATGGCTGTGCCACACACAGGACTGGGTGTGTGCAGACAGGCCAATAAGCATGACACGTGATGTGGAAAATGATAGTGTGTCAGTTAGAATAATGTCTGATTAACTTACAAGAGGCTGATTGTATTTACGGAGCTCATTTTTGCCTTGGGCAATATATGTCCCAGAGTTTGTAGAAGTTGGTCTCCTCCACTCTAAACCCTGTTAAGATTGTGCTAAAAAAACACCTTAATTTTTGCCTGCTTATGTTTCTAAGATACACTGGGTTGTGGCTTTTTAATCTCAGCTTCAAAGCCTTCCTGGGATTTCTCCTCTCCAAAGAATTGCAAAACTTTAGTTTTTCTTTTTTGTATGCAAATTTTTGTGCTTCCTGAGTGAGTGCTGTAGATTCTTTATTCCTGTGATTCTTCATTTTCAAGTCAGAGAAAACTTTGCTTAGTGAATTAAATGTGCATGTTCTTCCATTTGCTTTTTTTTTTTTTTTTTTTTTTTTTTTTTTTTTTTTTTTTTTTTTTTTTTTTTTTTTTTTTTTTTTTTGTTTGGCTGGTATTAGACAGCAATTTAGGATAATTAAAAGAATAGAATCAGAGATCAGAGCATATCCTGAGTTGGAAGGAGGAAGAAGCACTGTCAGTGCCTGACCATGGTTCCCTTCTCCAGCCCCTGTGCTCCTGGTGATGTAGGCTTTGCGGCTCTTTGAACTCTAACCATAATGGATACTTGGTGCTGACACTGAGGTCATGGAATCCTAGAATCCTGAGCTGGAAGGGACTCCCAAGGATCATCAAATTCTACCTCGTGTTCCTGCACAGCACCGCCCCAAGAGTCACACCATGTGCCCGAGACCGTAGTCCAAGAGCTTCTCAAACTCTGCCACGTTTGGTGCTGTGACCATTCCCTGAGGAACCTGTTCCAGTGCCTAACAACCCCAGCCAAAGGGTGAAGAACCTTTTCCTAATATCTAATCTAACTCTACCCTGAGACAGGTTCATGCCATTCTCTTGTGTCCTATCATTGGACAGGAGAGAAGCGGTCAGTTCCTGCCCCTGCACTTCCCCTCATCAGGAAGCTGTAGGTCACAATGAGGTCTCCCCTCAATCTCCTCTAGGCTGAACAATCCAAGTGACCTCAGCCACTCCTCAAATTACTTCTTCTCATCCTGTCACCAGATTAGAAAGGTGTGGAGGCAGCAATGTTGGTGCTCTGCTGTGATCCCCTTGGCATGTCTTTTGCAGCCTTTCATCCAGTATAAATCACAGTGTGGTATGTGGGAAAGGCAATGGTGCCTAATAAGTGCAGACACTGCATACACTCCAGCACTGTATTTCCACAATATTGTGGGATATACTAAAGCGAGTCTACAAGGAACATGGAAAACCAGCAATCTCTAATATATTTGCACCCATGTGAAAGAAGAAAAGGAAGTCAGTTTCTGTTGCATGGAAAGTTACATCAGAATGTAGTTTTTGGAAGCATAAAAACATACAGAGATATAGAGACAACTTTAAGTTACTGAATTCTGGTTTATGATTGGACTCTCCCATGACTCCTCTTGTGAGCCCTCCAAACAGAAAGATTAATTAAAACATTTGCATCTCCTAAACCTCTAATTTTTTCTGTGGATCTTTTCCAGAGACACTTTGCCTGGCTTATTTTAAGAGGTCTAAGGAAAAGTCTCCCCTTTATTTTTGTAATGATCCTGTCCAGCACTAGACAAGGCAGCATACAGACTTTCTCTGAGGCTGCACACATAATAATTATTTTCAGGAGGGCTTTTTGAAGCCTAGGTCTCCGTTGGTTAAGGTGAAATTATTCTGCCAGGAGCCAGTTAGCTCCTAAATGAATTTTGAAATTATTTATCTACCCAAATCTTTCTTTGCCACCACAGATCATTTTTTAGGGTATTCTCAGACCCACACAAATAAAATATTAACTAATGATTCAAGACACCTATCAATTTCCTTGGTTGGTATTACTTGTAGTAGCTAAGAATGCTTTAGATAAGGTCTTCCAGTATTATTCTTTATCTGACTCCAAAACCAAAGTGCAATGGGGGAAATAAAGTACCTAATATCAGTGAAGTTATTTGTAAAACAGCCTTTTCAGCTTTTAGAACAAGTATGCAAACAGAAATATTTTACTATGTTCTGAAGGGGATATTTTTCTGAATGCCAACACTATCTATGTAGCATTTTAGCTCCTCATCCACAACAAAAAGATGGAGAACATAAATAGACAAAAAGGTAATCTTGGGATTCAGGACTCTTGATCCTTGCAATTATGCATTTTGTATCAGTCCTGAGAAGCTGATATTTTTGTATATGTACATGTCTGCTGTAGATGTCTAGAGGAGTTTTTCATTTAAGCGATAAATACAGGTAAATTAAAGTTAAACATTTACATCTACACATGGAATTGAAATCTGCTGCATCCAACAAAGAGGCAATTTTTCCAGGTTCTCCTCCATGTTTCACAAAACCAGCACTTATTTTAAGATCTGATGTTAACAAAGCTACTGCTTGGTGAAAGAAATATTTATTCTTTCTCTAAACTAGAATTTCTCTCCAACAGCAGAAAGAGTAAAGGACTAGAGTCCTGAACCCATGATAACTCCTACATGTAAAACACATATCCTTGCTTTGACGTCTCATAAATTGCCGAAGTTAGAAAAGGCAGTTTTGGCTAAGTGGCAAATATGGTTGCCTATGTTATCTTTAGTACTGTGTACTAAAGCGGCTGTAGTTTTAAACAGAAAGGTGCTGATGTCGTGCTCCATTGTGCTCCACATATATTCTTTAAATGTTTTCTCATTGAACCCTGTGTTTCTGTACTCACAGCTAGTGATACCTCTGACTTACCAAGAGACAAGGGATTACAGCAATCAGCTTCAGTGAGGCACAGAAAGACTTTCTGACAAAACCCCAGATATACTTTCTTATAGTAGTACGTGAGATCTAGAAAATCCGTGCCAGTGTGTGTAATCCGAGCCTGGACCTACTGCTGCAGCTCCACCAGTAAAGAATTTGTCCTAATCTCACCACTTCTTGAGCTTAACTCCCCATATCCGTAAAACCTACAGGGTGATGCCCTTTCTTAGTAGATAAAGTTTTTATTATGACCTATTAGTTTCCTCTCTTCCACTTAATGTTGCCTGGTCAGCTTGCAGAATAGAGTGAATGCTCACCATTTCCTTGGATGCATGCAAGATGCATTTTACTCCAAGAGAAATGAACTGTTTCTGCACCATGCACAGTTAGGCCCCTGTTTGGGATCTGTATGTTTCTGCAGGGACTCAGCTTCAGTGCAGTAAGGCCAGGAAGTGTTCAGTGACTCCAGCTCCCTGGGTAAGTCCTCCTTCCTGTTTATGCTGGGGGCTGGCAGATTGGCAAACAAAACCTAAGTCCATGGCTGTGAAGGGCTTTCTGTGGCTCCACATGCAAGCCAAAGGGAAGCACTCTTACCTGTGTGTACAAACATGTGCTTGACGTAGTTCTGTTTGGCGGTGAAAGTCTTGTTACAGAGAGTGCACTCATAAGGCTTTTTTTCACCTTGCCCACCCGCTGTGCTGTGGCCCGCAGATGGGGCCAAGGGCTGTGGGGCTGGCAGCTGGGCAGTAAAGGTTGACAGGCCGGGCTGGGACACTGTCACAAACTGTGTCTGTTGGCCAGCTAAAGGCTGGGGCAGGCTGAAGAGAAAAGGCTTAGGGCCACTGCCAGCAGACTGTGTGGTGAAAAGGGCAGGCAGGTAGGTGTTGCCAGCTGTGCCAATGACCTGAGTGTTGCTGGTCAGAGTCAGTGGCATTCTCAGATTGCTGGTGAGGGTTTCTGTCTGGCGTAAGTAGATCTGTGTGGTTGGCAATGGTTGGGCAACAGATGTGTTGACAGAAGGTTGCAAAGCCCCCTTTTCGGTGCTGTTATTGACTGTGAGCACTTTGCTGTCCATTTCAACGTCATTGCTTCTCTCTGGTGAGGATGAGTTGGCATCTACATGTTGCTGCTGCTGCTGCTGCGGCTGAGTGCCATCAGCAGGGACATCATTTTGATCTGCTTGAGTAGGTTCTTGCTGCCCATCCCGGCCCAGACCAGCCATGAACTGCTGCTCCATGGAATCAGGCTCAGTGCCAATGGAGGAACTGACACCTGAGTCAAAACTCTCCCCTTTGGGCTCGCTCTCAGTGCCTTCTGCTTGGTCAGTGTCCTCAGTGCATTCCTCAGACTCGTTGCGCTCAAGGATCTGCACCCTCTGTTGCCCGTAGTAGTCATAGTCATCCTCCATCTCCTGTTTAATATGGATGTTGCCCATCAGAGTTTGAATTCGGACAGGGCGTGGCTGCTTCCGGCAGTGTGTGGTCTCTGGAGTGGTGGAGAGGTACCGCTCCATCTGCTGCGACCGTTCATGGATCCGGGTAATCCAGCTGGGGTCTTCTATGTGATGGTCCCTGGGGAGTCCCAGGGCTGTCTCATGGTGGCTGACCACAGCTCCACTGTAAAAGGAGCGCTCCCCACTGCCATTTTGCATGGAACAGGCATAGAGGGCTGAATAGATCCTGTCCACACTGTGCTGTGGATGGCTCTGCAGGTAGCCAGACTCTGTGTCGGTGCTCTGCCCCGAGGTGCCTGATTCAGGTGTTCCCCTGGGTGTCTCTTGGCCAGAATCCTGAATCACTGGGTAGACGTCTCCAACATTTTGTGAGACAATCCTTGTGCACTCATCAATCACAGTCTTGATCTGCAGGATGCTGGCGGCTGTGAGGATTTGGAGGGCCTCTGACTGGGAGACCCGCAGCACCCCGCTGTACATGAAGTCAATGAGCTTTTGCACAGACTGGACCGACACCACTGAGGGGATCTCAATGTCACTGTAGCCCAGCAGCAGCTTGTCCTGGAAGAAGGGGCTGCCAGCTGCCAGCACGCAGCGGTGGGCGCGCAGCATGCTCCCGTGGATGCGGACCGTCACGTCACAGAAGTGGCCACGGTTGCGCTGCTCGTTGAGGGTCTCGAGCACAGAATTGCTGAAGTTGTGAAGGTTGATGCTATGAATGCGCTCTGTCATCCCCTTGCAACTGATGTTACCTGAAGCAAAGCAGGTGACAAAAGCAAACAAAAAAAAGAACAGAATGAGTCTTGTCCTCTGCAGGACCACAACGAGAGCGCTGGCAAAGGTAACTTCCCATAGTGTAAACAAAACTGATTGCACTGGAAAAACCACACACAGAAGCATTGGGAAGAACACATCATTTTTGTAAGGCTGCAAGTAAACTTCCCTACTCGTTTCCAGAAGCTCAAGTCCTGAATTTTTGGACAAAACCAAATGAAGACAGGTGCAGCTGGACCTGAATTCCAATCACACGCCTGAGTCTTGGACTTCCTATCAGTTTATCTGGCTTTAAAAAGCTTAGAGCCAGCCAATTTGTAAACACTGAACACATGGTTTAAAGCTGAATTTTAAGCTCTGGATTGGATTTATGCCAGAAGAGAACAGAATCTGTGATGACCCTAAGTTGTTAATGCAAAGAGTATATATGAAAATATGATTTCAATCTAAATTGGTATTTTAAGGAATTTAGATCCTGAGTTTCACAATACAGTTACTTCTATCAAAAAATCTGGCAGTCATTTTGTAAAATCCAAATCTGGTTCAAGATTCAGGCTGTAAATGTTCCTAAAATCCCACGCAGAGTTTTGTCTGGGGTTGTGGTTTAGAACATTTGCTACCCAATAGTGACAAACAGTTCTCTGAAAGAACCTAAAGCAAAAAGTTAACATGAGCTGTCCCCTTCATTTTTAGCATATTCCCAAGTTCTGACTTGCACCAGAACGACATAATATAAAAACAAATGTTCTCCTGCTGTTATTTACTTGACAGAAACTGGAAAATTACAGACACTTACTCCAAGGAAGACTTTGGCTTAGTTTGGCTGAATAATCTAAATAGAGAACAGTTTAGAAAAGCATATCCAACCCATTTGGATACAGGGCTAACATAATCTTCACAATTTACAAGTGACTGAAAAGACATTTCTCAATCTCCCAATCCACTGTTCTCTACCTTCATCTTGCTTGCTTTGGTTTCAATGCTTTCCCATTTCCTTTCCTATTCTTTAAGAAATTTCCATCTATTTAGATTTTGACAGGTAGAAACTATGGTTTCACCTTTTAATGATGAAGAATCAATTGCCCCTTCAATGGTAAACAAATAAAACACTATTAATAATTATTTTAAGCACTTGTAGTATGTGAGGCACCTTGGTTTCTAGAAAATTAGACCAAGTAATACTAAATCATCACTAGTATTACAGGCATTTTGTCTTGTATATTCCACCAAAGATGTAACCACTCTTGCCACAATAACTTGGTAATGTGTGAGCATCCCAAAATAGAAGCTGGTAAGTGTAAGTAAATTAAACTAACTTATTGTTACTGTCTAACAAATGTACAGAGCAAATAGCACTGAAAGCAGTTGATAGGCATACACATGCCTTTTAGCCCAGCAACGTCTCTCTGCTCCACCCTAAGGAGTGCTTTACATCTCATTCACAGGCAGTCCAACACTACTCACTGCAATTTTTAGGCACATGTGGCATCCTCCCTGCTCTGCCTTTTTCTTCCCATTTATTCACTGCCAGTGTCTCAAGCACCCTCTATTCTGGTGGTTCCAAGAGAAACCACCTTGGACACAAGCAGTTATTTCAATTCTCTGAGGCAGCTGATGATTAAAGAGAAACACAAAGGTCAGAAAGTGGAAATCACAACGGGGCCAAGCTGTCTGAAGAAGACCCATGTTAACAGATGTAAACCAACCTGTACCAGAAGGTTACTAATTTCCATATGTGATTAGCATGCTGAGGGGAAGCTCACACAGAAGAAACAAGGAGGAAATCACTAACACCATGATGGAAGTTATGAAATACATCTGTCTTGTTCATAAGCTTAGCCAGGACACTTGAGCTTCTTTCTCCAATGGGACTGACCATAGGACTAGAAAAACATCTTAGAAACTGTGAGACTTTCCTTCAAGGGCACTGCAACTATTATTACACAAAATAATGTAGAGAAGAGGTGTATTTCCTCCTTCTTCCTGACTTACTAGTTCTCCAAAGGCCTCCAGGGCAGTTCCAGATGCTTACCTGTCAAACATTTCAGATTATACAAGAACCTAAAATGTATTTACACAAAAAGTCAGAACCCTTGGCAAAAGCTTTGTACCAGTGGGGCAACAGGAGGGTGGAAAATTATTGATAAATAGGTGACACCTCTTTTCACGACTTACTATAGGCCACAGCAAGTGATTGTACAGCTACCCGTTTATCTCCGTCTATCTTTGAGTAGTATCAATGACTACCTGGTTTGCTCCTAGGACTCACTTTCCCAGAAACACATCTCTTTGCTTGGTTTTTTCAAATGAGATATTTGATAATAAGAAGAAATATGCAGCAATCCAACCCAATAACCCCAAAATCCTACCCTGAACATGCACAATGTGGAATTTTCTACACCTACCAGAGAGGCTACAGACAGGTCACTTAATTTGAGAAAAGAAACCTACTTTGTTACTATGCTCCTTGGCAGATAAAATTAATTTTGTGAGCAGAACTCTGAAAAATGCATCCTTAGGACAACTCCTTTCCAGAAAGGCATGACATGCATCATAAGACTGGATGACTTCCTGGGAACATGAATTCTGCCATTTACCCACAAATCATGTACAGAAAGGAGGAAAGGCAAGGTTCATCTATAAGTTTCAACAGCCCTCCTCAGGTCCTGGCTGTGGGAATCAAGAATTGTATAGCCACAGTGTATTTGGTCCTGTCATAGTTTAACATGGGAGGAATTTAGGGAAGTTCTTAGCAAACTTAATGAAAACAGGCAGTTGAAATTGATCCTGGCTACAAAAAAGAGATTTGTATGCATTTTTAAGAGTGATGTGAATAGCTGTCATATAGGAACGGATCTAGTATGCTCCTTGTGGTGTAGAAGCTAGTCTGAAAGCCAACTGAGCCACTTCGTAAGTGGCATTATTTTTTACTGCTATTAGAGTTTGCCCTTAAAAAGATCCTCCCATTGTTGGAACACATACCACTTCTTCAACTGAGAAGCAACTGAAATTTACTCCTTGATGATAAAAGAAGGGTCATTAGAAGAGATACACAGTAAATGGTAAAAAAAAAAAGCTAATACAGATTTTGAGGATGATTTTTCTAAGCCACCTTCCTTGACATTCAAGACTGTAAACCATATCTAGCCAAAGTCCAGGCAAACAAATAATTTGTATAAGTGTCAGAAACACTATTACACAAGACACATCAGTATAAAGAGCAGTTTTAACAAATTCCAGAGATTGGTCTGTAGCAAAACCTGCTGTTCAAGGCAGATCCTTTCCCTCTTTGCAGGAAACTGGATCCAGGTCCAAGTTTTGTGGTTGTCCCCTACTTCATGTTGTTTTAAGCTGAAAGTCCAAAGGTGATGTTGCCCACAAAACACAGACTTGCCAATGCAGGTTTGATTCTAAGTAAATGCCACATTTTGACAAGGACTCCTAGAGCCTTGGACAAGGCAGAAAGTGTGTCAGCTCCTCACAAGGCCCAGCTGCACACATGCACACTCACCTACTCGTCACTGCACAGAATGCCCAGCTCAGGAGAAAGACTCCTGTCTAGGGCTCTCCTCAGGCCTGCCACTCTTTTAAATTCGAGACAGTGGGAAATTTTCTGTGAAATTCAAGTGGTCTTTGTTAAGTACTCCCTTTTTTTTTTTGTCCAGTAAACATGATGTAGAGATCCCAATGGACTTATTCTGAGAAACTCCTGTAAAATGGTTTTGTCCCCTTTCTGTGAAGCAAGTTCTGATTGGAGGGGTATTCACAAACCATATAGGAAAGAATGGGTGTGAAAATGCAAAGGCCATTCTTACCCAGATGGGCAATGAATAGGCATTTGCCAGTTTAAAAAAAAAAAAAAAAAGGCAGAAAAAAAAAAGAAAGGAAAAAAGCCCAGACAACTGCACAGATTATGCACATTTGAAATCCTCCTGGGATACAATTTGAAGCTGGCATGGCATAAAGGTGAAACATATTACTGTGCAACTTTGAAAAAGGCTTCATTTGCCCGTATGCAAATGTACCGATTAAACTCTCAGGCTATTCACAGAAACATGCATGGAATTCATCCTCAACTAGTAAGAAGGAACACAACGTGGATGGGAAAGGAAAAAACTTTTGTTGTGTAATACATGACTGAATGCTTAGATTAGTGTTTCCCTGAATCTCATCCACCCCTCCTGCTGACTTTTATGCTATGGGCATTCAAAAGAAAGTAGATTTTACCATGACAATAACAATGACAAGCTCTCCAAGTACAGTACCAAAGGGGAAGGCAATGGCAGAAGGAAACAACAGGCAATGGACTCCTGGAAGATGCTATAGAAAACGTGGAAGTGCAGCAGTGAGGTACATCAAGCATGGCTTGAGGCAGTTTTCCATTTGCCCAAGTTACCACACACAGATCTAGATGAAGCTGGAAAGTAATGGCTCGAAATGATGATATTTTTTTGTTTGTCAAAACCATAAAAAACTACCCCCCAGAAAACACATGATGTAGTAGAACCAAAAAGATGGACAGAATATTGAACACTGCAGGCCATACAGAAATGGCTACGTGGTACATTTGAAAATGCATTTTGCAAGGTTTTTTTTTTGCACAGCCACTAGATGTCCCTTTCTGCAAAGCCAGTTGCTGAAAGTCTTAATGCTAATAACTGAAGGATATCTGAGAATTTGATTTTCTCTAGTGTCTTTTAAAATCACAGTATCTCAAAACTCATTGCACAGTAATGACTACCATCTCTAGAAACACAGTGGTGATGAACCATCACAGTTACTGCAACTCAGTGGTAGTTCAACACCTCAGCACAGCATTCACCTGAAGCAAAACTGCCTAAGATGCTGGAATCCAAGGTTCTTTGTGAACTTATTGTGTGCTTGTTCACAGGAGTGACTAGCAGAGTGAAATCCAAAGGCTGTATATTGCTTTCATACTTATGGGGAATAGAAAATAATTGTTCTAGATCCTTGAGAA